GTAGATATATAGTTGCATTCTCTTAATGAATAGAATGATTTTTTCTAATGGTGTTTGTAAATAGGATCACAAGTCCGCATCTTGTAGAGCAATTAACCACTAAGAAGAATATATGCAGTGTATTATTTGTTGAAACTGTACTTCTGATTTGATTTGAAACTGTCTCATTGCTATCTGTTTATCAATAAAACTGTAGAAAAAAAATAAAAAAAACCCATAGAATTATACAGTTTAAATGTGGAAATAACAAGATATATGAGTAATATCTCATTCTGTTACTTAAAACGAATAAAATAATAGTCTACCTACCTCCTAAGAAGAACAATGGATCAAAAAAAGTAAATTTGAAGAGCTTCTTGACTTTTCCCACAAAGGGATCTTGTGGGTTGTTGAGGGAGTCGACATTTACTCCAAATGATGTGGCAGTGATCACATCCATGCTATAGGCCCCGAAGACACTGAATAGAGAAAGACATGAAAACTTAAATTTTGCACTTCTCTGTCATTGTTCTCTTCATTTTGAAGCAAGAAGTGGGAGTGAATTCATATAGCCAGCAAAGACAGAGAACTAAACCTTGTCAGAACAACCTGCTGAACAGTCTGTGTATTTTATTTCCCCTAACTCATACTTTCTGGGTATTTTTTGAGGGCTATCAATGCAAGTTCTTTTTCTAGAGGTGACAGGGAAATTGAGGTGATTTCAACTGATACACATAGATAAATTACAATAGGGTGGGTGGCATGCAAAGAATAATACATGTGAACTGCCACACATCATGAGGAGAAAGAACTGATTCTTCCCACGGGAAACAAAAATAGCAACAGATCTAGGGCTTGACTCATCATAGTTGTAGACATGGTTTATTCTTCACAAGTCACACAACAGTAACACTCTGTTCTAATTTTCTAGGAGCATCATCCTTTTAATTCACATCTTTTGTTCAAGCTCCTTATATATCTGTTCTTCCCCTACCCCTCAAATCTGAGGTTGCCCTGAGGCCAGAACCATTCTTACAAAATATGGAAACTAAGACTATTCCTGACTTAAAACTATAATAAATCTCTCTGATTTGGACTTGCATTATCTCATATTTAAGTAAACACATGTCTCCTCTTTGTTCGCTGCAATCTCAATTTACACTCATGGCTCTTACATAATCCCAAATTTTCTAGTTTACCCAATAAATCTTCTAGTTGCCCTTCACATATTTTCTCTAGAACCTTTACTCTGTTGATATTAGAAGGACAAGAAGTGTTGAGAAGATTAATATTTACTCTTTTTATGGAAATCACTATAAACTTCTGAAGGCATTTAAGTTAATTTGCACATTGCCACTTTTGTACATCATGCAGGAACTTCAAATAGCTACAGTGGCCTTGTCCTCTAATCATTTTTCTCTAAACTCATATGTTTGGTACTGTCCTATTTTGTTCTTTCTGAACCATATATTTTATCCTCCAGAACATTCCAAGAGATGATTAAGCAGCTAATTTTTTAAAATGTGATTAATATAGGGTCTCACTGCACATATTGGACTTGTAGTGATTGTCCTGTGTTCAGCCTCCTAAGCACTGGGAAGTGCATGCCACCATGCCCAGTCTCAGTTCTCATCTCAGCGTGCCCCTAGAGCAGGGCCCACACAGCATGCCAGGAAATGAATCCTGTTTGCTGAGCCTGCCTATGCAGGTGCTTCAGTCCACTGAGCTATCTTGCCAACCCCTAAACAGCTAAATCTGATGCCTATAAATGGGGGGGGACTCTATTCCCTAACTATACAGGTTTCTCTGGGAAGATGCCCTTTTTGGATGACCTATCAAAAGTGTAACAAAGCATTTCTGCTTTACTCTGGTTACCAAAGTTACTCAGCAGCAAGAATTTCAGCTCCTTGGCAAGTGGCTGGAGGGTCTCCTAACAATTCAGAAGGCCTCAGATGCACTGATACTTACTCTTTCATAGACACAGGTTCACCTTTCTTGGTTTTCTGCCTCAGGTTCTTCACCAGTATATTTCCATACTGTTCTATGATGGGGAACATCTAAGCATAGAACACACCATACTTAGGTAAGGCTAGGATACTCAAGTCCTATATTCTATTTCTTTCAGTGTCACTGAGAGTGAACATTATGGGGGACTTAGAATGTTTGATTGGGGCCATCTGCTGGGCATGTTGATAGGGATACTCATAAATTTAGAATTTGAGTAATTAAATCTCAAGAAAAATTTAAAGGAAGATTGCTAAATCAATAAAATTAAAGCATAGAGTCCTAGCCAGGGTCTGGTGAGCGTGCGGAGAGTTTCCTGCTACCCTGCGCCAGCGGGACCAGTCCCAGCCCAGGCGCAGCATGGGCCTGACCCACTCCCAGCCCCTCGGGCCGCCCCCCACCACTCCTCAGTGCCTCCCCCACCACGCCCGCC